TAAAGAGAATTTTCTTCTCCAACCAGATTGATGTGAATTTACAACACTCTAGAGTAGAGTTTTTTCAACTCTAAGTGAGTTCTGAAAGTGGGTGGAGTTGATGCAAATGTTAGTATATTTGTTTATAGTTTTAAAGTATGATATATATATATATATATATTGAGATAGCCTAATGACTAATATATTAAATAGAAAGTAGGATACAGATAGATTGTGTTGGAGGGTCCAAACATGACACCTTGCCCACACGATAACCACCACATCAAATGATTTCAAAAAGAGAAAACAAAAAAAATATATGAGAGACCTAAAGAAAAAACTAAGAAGTGCCAAAAAACTGAATATCAAGTAGCTAGAGAGCGACCCAATTTTGCCTTGCCCTTGCCTCTAGTTCTAGGGAAGGAGCTGGCTAATAAATTGGTAAGATGAGTGTCATTGTCAATAGTAATCAATATATCATCCAATAAATTCCCGAGCTCGAGTCGACCTCCATTCTTCTTCTTCATCCTGAATAGATCTGCCATTCCTCGTCTGAGGATTGGCTCACCTGATCAGTGGCTGGTCTAAAGTGTGTCAGACATGTGTAGGTCTTTGAACATTAGAAGTAAATAGTTGCTGTACCAACTGATCTTTTATTGGATTGAAGAAGTACTCTCGTGAGTCTTGGCATGTAAGTGGACATTCTTCAATAACAGTGAGTGTTATAATCACATTTTGACTGTACCTGTAGGATGATGTTTTTCATCTGGAACTGCGATGTTGGAAAGATGATCGGGTTGCACATTCTCAGCAGGGATGATAGGTGGTTGATCTTTAGCGATATTTCGACGTTAAATGAGGATGCAAACGATAGCAAATAGTAGAACTTTGGCCAAACATACTATAATGAGAGGAATAAAAAGGATGTAGTTCTATTTCAACCTTTTGTCAATACCCGTTGTGAGTGGTGTCAATCCATATCTCATCCGGAGATGGTTGAATGATATCTCTCTCAACTAACACACAAGCCACAAAGGGTCTGGTGACAACAAGCGTATGACTATCAGCATTGAGAGACTTACCGTAAGTAATTGCTAAAGAGTTGAATAGATGTAATTTTAACCCAGGAAACATTATCCAAACAGGAATGATAGGGGACTCCGCTTTTGGATCAAAATCGACAATCCACTTCAGAATTTTTTATAAAACGGTTGTTTATCTTGATAACTTTTTAAGAAAAAATGCGAGTGTAATCAGCATCGTGAGACAACTGAATAAGTATATGTCGACCATCAAGTAAGTTAATATTCCAACTTTCCAATAACTTCATAGCATCAAACTCTTTCCAAATGATCTCAAATTTTGAGTGACCATAAAGGAATTTCCCCACTAGAGTAAAACGCCGAGAGGACGCGAGAGTGCTGGTTTCAATCTCAATGAGAATAAGAATAGACTTCCCATTTTTTTGCCAAATTTTTTAATGAAAGTGTGATCACTACCACCTTCAATAGCGTCGTGGAAAGATTGATGAATATTGCAGGACTTGTTAATGTGGAAACCAGACTCTAAACCTAAAAGAGGAGCACGAGTAGGAATAGGAAAGTTGTTGGCAAGTGCATTGGCATAAAAACACATTGTGGAGGCCATCTCTAGAACGACTAGGCGAGACGCTAGAAAAAGGCGAGTAGACTTTGAGGGAACTTCTGTCGGGCAGAGCGACAGAGACGTCGTTGAGTACGGGGGAAACCTTCTGTCGGGCAAGGCAACAGCGGTGTCGTCGAGTGCAGGAGAAGACGCCGTTAGCCGCGACAGCTAAGGAGGAAGTGTTGTCGATTTCCTGATGCTGCGGAAGCATAGCGGAACATGATCCCGCAGAGACGCGCACGACGCCGCCGAAGATGACCTTTAACCTGCTGCACAGACACACTCCCGCAGAAGACGAGCCGCGACGATGTTGACGCGTGATACTGACGAAAACGAAAGAAGATCGAGTGCGAGCAGTGAAGCAGAACTAGCGTTTGCCATAATGGCAAAACCCTAACAGAGCGATATCGAGGAGTGCGAGCAGTGAAGCAGAACTAGCGTTTGCCATATATATATCTTTATTCTAATGTGCAATTAAGGATAGTATTTGTTTATCAAGCACGTGTTATAAACCCTGATTTTATCGTAAGGTTTCATTTTATATTAGTGCTTTTCATAACATGAATAAATGTTGATTCGCCTAATCTTCTCTCACATATTTTCTTATATTCCTCTTCTATTTTCCTTCTCCTCTTCTTCTTTTCAAAACCTTGCCTCTTTTATGTTCATCACCCCTTGATAAAAAAATTCATTATATCTGTTGAATTTAATAACCTAGCACGGGCAATATGCTGGACTTATCACTTTGTTAGAGAGGGAATGAGGCCTTGATAATTTTGTAGGGAAGACAATGACGTGGCTATGAAAATCTTTGGTATTTATTTTACTACTATTTGTTGAGATTGCATTGGCCTGATCATCTATCTTCTTCACGTTGTTTCCATTTTAATATCATTTTTGGGCTACTATTTTCTAGCTCAATCAAAACCTGCTTGGATACCTTATGCATTGCATTCCATATTTTGTAGATTACTTCAGAGTAATTTCTTTCTAGAAAATTTCAAATAAAATCACATTAAATTGAATTTTTAATTGTTTACTTCCAATTGAATTTAAAATGATAGAAAACTATGGATGGACTTTATTTTTTCTTGAATTATATGCTTTATAGGGTTAAATTTCAGAATAGCCCTCCGATTATTCGTGTATGGTCAATTTAGTTATAGAGTATCACCTTTTTCAATTTAGTTTGTCAACTATAAAAAATAATAAAAAATAGTTTCTCAGTGACTAAATTGGGATTAGTTTTATATGGTGGAGGGACTAAATTGAGTTAATTTTACACGACGAACTATTTTGGATCAAATTTGTATAATCAAGGGTCTAAATTGAAGAAATTTTGTACTCTAGGGCTAAACTGGCCACATATGAATAGTCAGAGGATCATATTAGAACTTATTTCTTAACAAAGCACAGGTTATGAATTTACGAAGATTTGATTGGATTGCTGAACTAGGTGTTCCTATGAACTACCATCCTTAAAAACACATTATTCGGACTCACTGAACTGGATACATTATGAATCTTTTTTTTTTTTTGTCAAGAAAGACCTTTTTTTGTGGTTAATTTACTTCCATCTTTGCACACTACAGGTGGATGAAGTTGGGTCCTAGACGTCTAAGAAAACCATGAATCTTGGAATAGGAGGGGATAACACGATTAGTAACGGATTTAATTTGGGAGGACAAAAACAACAACAACAACAAAAAAACCTTAATCCCACTACGTGGGGTCGGCTACATGAATCATTTTCTCCATTGTGTCCTTTTTAATGTCATATTTTCATTTAGTTCTAATAAATTAAGATCATTTTTTATACAATAAGCCCAAGCATTCCTAGGTCTACATCTGTCTTAACATAATTCAAATCTAAAACCTCTACTCTCCTAATCGGATCATCAGATGGTCGTCGTTTAATGTGACCAAACCATCTAAGACAACTCTCTCTAATTTTGCTTGTCAATGGAGCTACACCAACCCTATCACGAAGATATTCATTTCACATTTTGTCTCTAAGTGTAAAGCCACTCATCCACCTAATCATTCTCATCTTGGCAACACTTAACTTAGTATCATGCTTCTCTTTTAAGGGCCAACATTCAACGCCATAGAGCATTGCAAGTCTCACCACCATCTTATAAATTTTTTCTTTCAATCTAAGCGGTAATTTTCTATCACACAAAAGGCCCGAAGCATTTCTCCACTTCAACCAACCAACTTGAATTCTACTATTAACACCCCCATCCATATCACCATCGCTTTGAACAACAGACCCAAGATATCTAAATCGTTCATATCTTTTAATAATTTGATCACCCAAACTTACACTTCTGTCACTAGAGCTACTACTACTAAAATAATATTCCATGTATTCATTTTTAGTTCTACTCAAATGAAGGCCTTTAGACTCCAATTTAGACCTCCATAATTTAAGTTTTTCCTGGGCTTTTTCTCTCGTCTTATCCACGAGAAGGAAATCATCAGCAAAAAGCATACACCAAGGTACATTCTCCTGTAAATGTCCAATAAGACCATCCATAACTAAAGCAAAAAAATATGGGCCTAAAGCCAATCTCTGATGTAATCCAACAGAAATAGGAAAATAATTGGTCAATCCTCCTTCAGTTCGAACACAAGTAACAACTCTAGTATACATATGTTTAATGACTTAAATTTAGGTCATATCAACACCTTTCTTCTCGAGAACTCTCCAAAGGATTTCTATTGGAACCTTATCGTAAGCTTTTTCTAAATTAATAAAAATATAAAAATCATTAATAAAAATCAAATTTAGATCCTCCTTATTATCTCTGAACTTCTCCATCAGACCTCTCAATAAATGTATAGCTTCCATAGTAGACCTGCCTGACATAAATGCAAATTGATTATGAGAAATCTTTGTAATGCATCTTAACCTATGTTTAATTACCCTCAACCATAATTTTGAAGTAAGACACATCAACTTAATTCCTCTATAATTTGCACACTCTTGTGCATAATTTGCACACCATTCCCTTTATTCTTAAAAATGAAAAATGAGGACCAAAATATTTTTCCTCCACTCCTCAGACATCTTTTTAGTTTTTAAAATAATATTAAAAGAAGGACAAACAAACATATATTTTAAACATCACAGGTTAGCTTAAAGGAACTATTTGGCTTTTTTCATGGAGTTCTATGCATAAGAATGGTTAATACACTACATCACACTGGATATTGTATTATGGGGATTTGAAGTGAACTTGTTATAGAACATTTAAGTTTCGACAAAATGTAACCTGATAAAGCTTGCTTTCGTTTATTCATAGCAATGTTACTTTTGTCTGTGATTATGTTATAACTTTGAATTAAATTCTAATTCGTTTCCACTCTTTAAGATTGTAGGGCTGACTGGTTCTCAAATATGTATTTGGACCCTTGTATCAGGAAAAGGCATCTTTCGGTCTCATGAAGGCATTTTCTCTCGGGGAATTTGCATGGGGTATTTTCTGGTCTATTAACTAAATCAAACCTTTTTATTTAAGAGGGTTTTTTTTTTCTCTAGCAATATTATGACTACGTGAGATTCTTTACTTTTTGTTTCACTTTAAATGCATGTTTTCTGCACAGTTAAGGCATTTATGGTTTTATTTGTTTGTTTTATTATCTTCTTCCTCTGTGTTGGAGTGTTTGCTATTGTCACATAAATTAGAAGTTGTTTATGTTTTACAATGCGCCACTCTCTATTCGTTCTATTCTTATCCTCTCTATGTCATGGTTGTTTTGGCCCCAAGGCCTAAGCATCCCAGCACTGTTAGCTGCTAGTAGTGCCTTAACCATGGAAGCTGTTGATTTACGCGCAAACCTTTGTTGAAAGTTGTAATTGTTTGTTCGATATATTGAATGTTATCTTTTGGACATTTGTTAAGGTGATTTTGGTCCGTCAAAAACATTGTCATGGTTTTTTAAAGAATTCCGGATGGAATTGCTCACCGAGGTTTAGCCTCTGTACTCCTTTTTTGTTTCCTTTCAAAAGTTTTCAGTGTGAATAGGAATAGGATCGATGCGTTGTGTAAAGTTTTGAATATGACTAAAATAAACTGACTGTTAAAAGTGTGCTTTCGGAGAGTTGTGCTGCACTGACCTTGTGTATTGTATCATAATAGTGTGTGCGGCTCCTACTTAGGAAAGTCTTAGTTCATAATCATGTTTTGGTTCAGTCTCTGCCATTATAAGAAGGCACAAATGTTTGCTTCTCTTGATTTTATGTCATAGCTATTGAGTCATTGGTCATTGATTCTCCATTCTCTTGTGCTAGATCTAGTCGTTTTTTGGTGGTGGTTGTTTTCACGATCATTCTCCTCTAGCTTGTCGGCCGTATTTTTAATTTCGTGATTTGAAAAAGTGATGATTTTGTGATTTTGAAAATAAATTAAATATGAATATAACCCTTTTGATTTTAAAAGTAACATTTTAATTTTAAAATAGGTGAGACCAAACGGGTCTCACATTTTAAATAGTTTAGATGATTGAATAAATACTACAAATAATACACTTATCCTGAAGAATAAATCTATCACTTGTAATATGGGTTTAATCACCTAGACTAATAAAATTTATGACATCCGTTTTGATTTGCGAAATATTTTATTAAAAAAAGACCAACAAGTTCCTCCACCTAACATAAAAAATTAGATAGGATTTATTTTATCTGGGTTCCAGGTTTCCTATAGAAACAAGCCCCTATGACTAATTACATCTTAAATAACTGAGGTCACTTAAGAAAACTCTCGATTAAGATCAGATGATTTTGCCTTCAAGATTTCAAAGTTTAGGTTTTCATGATTGAACATGGGAAAATCAATTGGGAATGACTCAAAATAGGAACAATTATTTAATGAATTCAAAGGGAAGAAAAGTAGGGGATATCACAGATCTGGGAAAAACCCCGGTGAACTCCCAACTACCCTATTATTTGGCTTTATGTCTTTGAAATGATGTTTATTTAATATTTCAATCCTGCAAATTATTTAAGATTTAGGACTTATGTTTACACAATATCGGATTGTGCAAATAGTCTAAAAAGATATGAGGATTTACACCGTACCGCACGGTAACCTCGGAATCCTAAAGTGTTAGGACTTATAATTGCACAACAGAGTTATGCAAAAAGCCTAAAGGGTGATCCTATGGGTTGTTATTTAAACTAAATGAAATGATAGGTGATGTGAAGATGTTTATGTGATGTGTTTTGATGTTTTGCTGTTGGAGATCCACTTTGAAGTTGTTCCTCTTCGCGCTGCCCACGATGTTCGCTCCAAACTCCGCGTAGTAGCACCTCCTAGTTTAGTTTTAGTTTTGAAAATGCACTTAACCACTAGGTTTTCCTAAACTAAGGCATAGTGTGTATCAAAATAACTAAACATGCAGTATAAAAGAAATGAACAATATAGTGTACAGTAGAAAGAAAAAACAGTATAACATGCTGAAAGAAGAGTATAACAGACTATGAAAAGACAGTATAACATGCTAGGAAAATAGTATAGCAGGCTATGAAAACAATATAACATGCTGTGAAATAAAATGTTGTAATGTAAATTAAACATGTACACCTGGGAGGTTCATTGCTCCTTTAAGTTTAGCTATTATTCGTTGTGTAAAAGGGGAAAGTATGACCTGAAAAAGACTTGAGAAAAACAGGTAAATCGTAGGAAAAAGATACAAATAAAACAAAATCCAATATCACATATAAAGGACCAAGAATATGAGATTTATATGTGATATTGGGGATTTCCCTAATCGCCAGGAGGATCTGAGTGTAAGACAAACTCAAATCCCGGAGCATTGGTTTTCAGTTTTGGTCAAGTTAAGGCAAGAATTCCATTATTTGATTTAATTAAATCAGTCATGAATCACAATCTAGTGCACCCTCGTGCCCAGTGTCCTAATTATATCATGAACTGGGGTCAGATGTATGGCTTCTTAGGATCATTTAAACATTAGGATGATAAACTCTCTCTTAAGGTGTGCTCCTAAGTCCTAGGAAGCCTACACTTTAGTTTAAACTTGAAGTGTTCTAAAGTGTCTAACCTCAATTAAGTGTCCCTCAATTAATCCTCGAACATTTTTTTTTAGATCAAGCTTAACTCTCTATCAGGCTCCTAAAACCTAAGGGTGAACCTATAGTTTTGGCAAAAAGGGTTGTGAAGTGTGCTTCAATCCTAGTTAGGGTAGTTGAATTTAAGTTGATTCAAAGCTTAAGGGACCTTAGTGCAGGTCTACTGATCTTTCAATCCATGTCCCTAATCGTTATCTAAACTCTTATTTTCTTTCAACCCTCAACTATTCTTCCAATTTACAATTTTATCTTTCATAGGAACGGTAAATGGTTCGCTATTTTATCCCCTCTTTAGGTTTTATCATCTCGAAGATCCAAATTATATTTTTAATTTCCTCTCATTTTTCTTTTCTCATATTTCTCTTAAGACTATGAATCATTTCTGAATATAATTAAATCAGAAATTCACATTTTTAACTTGACCGTTAAAAAAAGGAAAACAAAACGAACGAGAAGGTGACCGATCCATTTTTTAAAATCAAGTCAAATCAGTGAAGCTTAAAATGAAATCATGAATATATCGGTCTAAAACGTTTAAATTCATTAAAAAGAAAATGATTGGATCAATCCCTAGAAGGATATCCTTTCCAAATGTCAATCTTGCGCATTTCCAACCCCCGCATGAATTCAATTTATATTAAGTTTACAATTTCTTGAAACAAAATTTCAAAAAAAAAACTTTTCATATGTCACAAAACAAGAGAGAATAATCCATAAGGAATGAATTTCCAAATTTCCAAAAGCTATACCAATATCAATTCCATTCAGCTCCATATTTAAGCAAAAATCCTTTTTTTTTCATCATTTTTTTTTATTTCATAAACATGAACTTATCCATATAAGTGTCCAAGGTAATAGAGAGAAACACTCACTAGCTCAATCCATTCCACCAAGAGATCACAAGTTAAAGTTTATGGGTAAGGCCAAAAGAGAGGAGGGCTCACGGGTAAAGTGACAAGTATCACAAAGACAATAAGCCAGCTTCAAATCCAACTCACGGTCAAGGACAACCCGAGGGCAATCTTAAAGTAGTAAACACTAAATGAGACTTACATGAGGCTTATGGCAAAGCAGCAAACCAAAGCCTATTAAGCCAACAAAGCCACCAAACCAAGCCTCAAACAAGCTCATAAGTAAAATTAGGGAGGAGCAAAACAACCACCAAACCAACCCCAATCCAGACTTAAATAAGCTCTAAACTAGCTCACGGGTAGAACCTGGAAGAGGAGCAAAACAACCACCAAACCAAGCCTCAAACAAGCTCATAAGTAAAATTTGGGAGAAGAGCAAAACAACTACCAAACCATGCCCAAACCAAACTTAAATAAGCTCTAAACAAGCTCACGGGTAGATACTAGAAGAGGAGCAAAACAACCGCCAAACCATGCCCAAAAAAATGGGCAAACCGAGCAGCAAAGAGGCTGAACCAAATCTAGTTAAAGGGAGCAAAAATAGAGAAATATTCCAGGATTAAATTTGATTTCGAAAAGAGCTCAAACCAAGCCTACCAAGTGGGCTAAAAATTAATACAAAACTTTCAATTAAATTCAACCTAGAAGAAGGCTAAAACCGAGCTCAGTACATGGGCAAAACCAAGCAGCATAAAGGCTAACCCAAACTCAGTAAAGAGGCAAAACAAGTGAGAGCATTTCCAATAAACATTTAATCCCAAAAGAAGTTCAATTCGATCCCACTAAATAGGTTAAAATAGGGTCATAAAAATCAAATTCCATAAAGCCACAACCGAGCCTAAGAAAAATGGCAAACCGAGTCCAATACATGGGACAAAACAGGAAGCATGTTTCCAATTAAACCTTGAAGAAAAAGCTAAGGCCGAGACTGAGACCACCAAATTGACCAAAAGTGAACATATTTTTCAGCATTTATTGTGAGCATGAATATCAACAATGAAAGTTTCGATAATTTCATTCCAACAATCATTCGAACAAAGGGGAAGAGCAAGAGGAACATGAAATGAGGCCCAAACATATTTTTTTTATCTCATAAAACAATTTCCAACATGTATTGCAGTAAAGGGGCGGCATTAGAAGCAAGAATGAGCCCCCAAATACATGTTTCATCTCATAAAACAATTTCCAACATGTATTTCATGCTTCCAAACATTTCAAGCAATGAAATTAATAGAGGCAGCCCCAAATATGTTTTTCCATATGTATTTCTAAAAGAGAAAAATACATTACAAGATCACCTTAGCCATGCTTTTAAGTGCTTCAAGTAAGGAAAATAAAGATAGCCCACACATGCTTGCCATAGACATTTATGAGGAATTAAAATGCATTTTTTTTAAATGCTCTATCAATGCTTCCACATATTTCAAACAAAAGAAAAGTAAGGGAAACTGATATATATGCTTCATTTCCCAC